TGACTCTGAAGGGGAAAGAAGAAAAACACCCTTTCAATGTAAGGAATGAGCACAGCTTTCTTGATTAAAAGGATTTGGAAGGGAGGCATTAACTCCTTTGCTCAAATACCTCCCAACTATTGTAACACACTCAAACTAGCAGTATAAAATACAGCACCATAAGGAACATGACCAAAGCACTCCATGTTGTAAGTGATCAACACCTCAAATAAGGCACAGAGAAAATTTATAGAGCAACTTGGTAGAATCTCTGCATATCACTGAAGAAGGGCATCTGCTAAAGCTGCCTGGCTTGAAACAGGCAGTCAGTGCTTTGAAGGATGAGAAAGAGAAAGATTTACTGATTCCTTATTTATTTAAAGGGAAAAAAACCCTGAAGGAATCTGATAACATAATGCACTGGCTCTAGGTAGGATTTTGTCATCTAATAAATAAAGGACTATTCATCCCAGTGAGGACAGATCTCTTAGTCTAACTAACCAAAGCCTGTGATTCCATCTGAACAATACTCTCCTTAACTAGTGTGTAGTAATGGCTAAAAGGAATCCAAATGGAAAACTCAAGCCAAGATGAAACAAAACCTTCTTAAGACATTAAAATGACACCTGATATCAAGAAATGAAAGTGGCAAAGCATCACATTTTAAGGGTTGAGAGAAGAGACATATGCATCTACTTCTTTCTTCTTCCTCCCTTCCCCAAGATTAATGTTTATTGTCTTTTTATGATATAAAAAATCCATTAAAAATGCAAAAAAAACCCTCAAATTCTTTATTATGGAAAGTTTCATGAGCTACACTTACCCTTCCTAACACATTGTTCAGCCCAGAAGCTGAGGTTGCTGTCTACACCAAGGGCTCTCCCCAGCCCTGCTCCTGTGGCTTGGCTGGAGTCTGCGGTGCAAATTCCATTCCCTTCCAACACTTCCAAACTCCCCACTCTGATCCCACTTTCTTACTCTGGGCCAAGATTAACATTGAAAGGATTGAGATTGAGGGCAAATAGAGCAGAGTTTAAATTGTGTTTTGCTGAGAGCTTTTTATAGGCCGGATTATGTAAACTGCGAAACTCATGTGGGAAAAGAGCTACTCATGGGAATCAGGGGTTTTCTTAACAGCAAGAATGAAGTGGTCAACTCATCTGGAAAGATGATCTGGTTGCACAGGGAAGCTGCTGCTGCCCCATCCCTGGCAGTGCTCAAGGCCAGGTTGGACACGGGCTTGGAGCAAGCTGCTCCAGTGGAAGGGGTCCCTGCCCGTGGCAGGGGTTGGAGCTGGAGGAGCTTTAAGGTCCCTTCCAACCCAAACCAGGCTGGGATTCTGGGATTCCATGGACAGTCAAGGCTGTTTTTTGAAACTGGAGAACCAGGGGAGCTCCTGTTTCTGGGCTGGAGGAGCAGAGGCCTTTCAAAACCTTCTCTGTTGGGTCCTCCCCAATGCTCTGCATCCAATGGGAAAGAGAGCATAACATGATTTTTGGGAAGCTGTGGCTTCCCATCCTGCCTCTAAGTCTAAACAAGGAAAGCAAGGCAGGAGAGAAAAACACCACCAAAACACTCAGATTTACCAATAACTCTCAGGCCTTTTAAAGCAGAAAATACAGTCTGAGGTAAAGCCTGAATCGAACATGCAACAGGTATTTCTCACTAGCTCTATGTGAGGGCACTTACAAGAGAAGTAATAAATATATGAGATTTGAGGAAATTTGTTCCTCTTTCATCTTTATCCTCTTTCAGAGGAGGTTTTAGTTAAGAGCAACGCATACACACATATGAATTCATTGAGAAACAGGCTCTGTGCAGAGAGAGTGCTCTGTCCTCAGTGTATACTTGTAGGAGAGTGATTCACAAAACCAGGTCACTGCAGAACTAAGAAAACATAAAGAGTTTGGACAGACAGATGACATTAAGTGCTCTTTAAAACCATTTCTAACCTGACAGCCATCTTCACAGCTGTAAGGATGCTGCTGCACTGACAGCACTGTCCTTCTAACCAAAACTGCTCCCCAGTCTATAAACAGATCAATCTGTCTCAAGCCAACTATTGTCTCAGCCCACGAATTCCTTTGGGCATAGACTGCTGTTCTGGCACAACAGGTCATGGCCCATTTCCTGTGAGGGTGGTGAGGCAGTGGAATGGATTGTCCAGGGAGGTTGTGAATGCTCCATCCCTGGCAGTGTTCAAGGCTAGGTTGGACGAGGCCTTGGGTGACCTGGTTTAGTGTGAGGTGTCCCTGTCCATGGCAGGGGTGTTGGAACTTGATGATCTTAAGGTCCTTTCCAACCCTAACTATTCTATGATTCTATGACTACATAAGCAACCACTACAGACACCACCAACACAATACGTCCACTCACAACACAAACACCCAGCCTCCTGCCCCTAACCAGTTTATCCCAAAACCCAAATACTCCTGCAGTGATTCAGGGACACTGCTTTGGACATGGGCAATGGCCAGCTCCACACCACCATTATTCTGCTCGACCCTTCCCATAGCAGCCTTTCCGTGAAGCCACACCAGTCTCCTGTTTCTGCGGCTGGAGTGATGAAGATCATGTAGCTTAGATGCTCTCAGCTGAGGACCACAGAACTGTCACCCTGCAGACTTTCAGGCACCTTCACACAAGGATGAAAGGAATCATAGAATGGTCTCAGCACCCTCCCAGGGAAGAGCTTCTGCCTAAGAGCTCATCTCAGTCTCCCCTCGGGCAGGTTCAAGCCATTCCCCTTGGCCTGTCCCTACAGGCCCTTGTCCCAAGCCCCTCTCCAGGTTTCCTGCAGCCCCTTTAGGCACTGGAGCTGCTCTAAGGTCTCCCCTTCAGGAGCCTTCTCTTCTCCAGGCTGCCCCAGCCCAGCTCTCTCAGCCTGGCTCCAGAGCAGAGCTGCTCCAGCCCTCGCAGCATCTCCATGGCCTCCTCTGGACTCGCTCCAACAGCTCCACGTCCCTCTTGTGCTGCTGCCCCAGAGCTGGATCAGGGCTGCAGGGGGGGTCTCCCCAGAGCACAGCAGAGGGGCAGGATCCCCTCCCTGAGCTGCTGCTCACGCTCTGGGGGTGCAGCCCAGCACACAGGGGGGTTCTGGGCTCAAGCACACACTGAAGCCAGCTCATGGGGAGCTTCTCACCCAGCACCACCAGAAGTAATGTTATTTGTTGTAGAAAACTCATTTCACTAGATGAGTACCAAGTATCAGCTTTTGTTTCTCAAATAAACCTGCTTCCATCTCATTTTTCTGCAACAATCCACTCCTGTTGCATTTCTCTGTTACAGGCGTTTCCTCGCTAACAAAAAAACCTTTCCCAAAGGCTGTGTTTCTGAGAGCTGCTAACAGGAAAGCTGGAGGAGACTCTGCTGTCAGTATATCCTGAAGCACTTCCCTGTTCCTACTATCAGTCCAATTCCCTATTCCCCTCTGCTGCTCTGTTCTGCCAGTGCCGTTTGCTGAAGACACTCCTTTCATCAGGAAGCTTTGCAGCCGGAGGCAAGGGAAGAGGAGGCGACTCAAGTCTCACTGTGGAGCCAGGACAACACAAAACTTGAACATGCTTCTGTGAGAATTCAAACCAGAAATGTATGAAATGTTTAAAGGAAACTGCAGTTTGTTTGTTTCCCACCACTCAAGAAGGATTATTTCTGTAACCTTTTTTACATCCATCTTCTGCAGAAGAAAAATGATGGGTTTTAATGAAATAAAAACCACTGATTCATTCAATGCTTTGCTTTTGTCAGTGTCTGAAAACTTGCTTTCAAAAATTATTCGATTAAACAACAGCTGTATGTGATTTTAAACATTATTTTAACAAAAAGAAGTTGTTTTCTTGAGGTTTTTAATAGAAATACAGCAAACCCTAGGAAGTGAACAAAGACTGCCTAGCTTTAGGATGGAAAAACTACACAAGTTATAGTGATGAGATGTATGTCAGGAAATCAGCTTGCCTGGCCAGCACCTGCATTCAAGATGTGGTATACAGAGGATGGGATGGAAAGGAACCTACAGGGACACTTCATTTTGCTTTTTGTTTGTCCTTTTTTAGATTTCAGTGAATATCCAGAATTCAAAGCCGCAAGAAGGGACACAGAAAAGGAGGCTTGAGAAGAATCTGGGCTTCTTTCATCCTATCTGTTGCAAGACATGCAAATGCTGTGTGCAGGGTGCGGGTGGAATGGCAGTTCTGCCCCTTCAATGGGTATGTTAAAAACAATAAATCAGGATTTTATTCCAAAAGATGAACCAAAATTAAAACACTAATTAAAATAATTGAGCAACCCGCTCCAGTGGAAGGTGTCCCTGCCCATGGCAGGGGCTGGAACTGGGTGAGCTTTAAGGTCCCTTCAACCCAAACCATTTCATGAATCTAAATTCTCAATCCATGTATTAAATCAAACAAAAAGAAAACCTGGTTGCACCAGAGCAGCAAAAGCTGAATTTTTCAGGTCTAAGTCATGTATTTTGGTCCACATTTCTAGCTCTTTAAGTGTGTTACGCAAATGCACGGAGTATCAAGATGGAAATGCCCTGACAAGACAAAGAAAGGAAGTATTTCAGGATGTCCTTATATTTTGCAGCTTTTGCATATCACTGCAAACACAGCCTCACATTAGCTGAACTGAGCTAAGAAGATCAGAGCAACTTCTCTGCACAGCCCTTTCAGCAGCTGACACTACGGATGCCAAAGCAGGCAGGCCGAGGAAAGAAAGTGCCTTGGAATACAAGAAAGGAGAAGAAATAAAAAGTGCATAAACCACAACAAAATTATCCATGGTAGGCTGGAATAAAACCTTCATGACATTTTCATACAGTACTTAGACTAAAGGCATTACTTTAGGTATCATCTTTCCATCATGAAATCTCAAATTAAGAGCAAGTGTGACAGTTTGAAGGAGAAAGAAAGGCTTGTTGCCATGGCAATCAATGCTAATTCCCTATGCCAAGGAAACGTTCAAGTGTGCTGGAAAAGAAAGACCCCTACACCAGAGGAAAAAAGCAGAACTCTACAACTTACCAGAATTTAAGTCACGTCCAGGATTGAAGGCCCTGCTGTTGACAGTGGTAGACAGTCTATCACAGCTGATAGTTCGAGAAACGTTGGTGTTAAAATTCCCATCAAATCTGAAAAGACAACGCCAGGATTAGCAATCTAACATTATCTATTCAACCTACAGAGCGGTTACAATGGAAATGCATCATTTGGAACTTCAATGACAGATAGTTACTTTGGAAACTCCGACATTATATATATTTAAAGGGTCCAGGAAAAACTGTGAACACCAGAACTATGGGGGAAAAGCTCATCTTGGCTGTATTTGCTCTATACAATGGTATGTTGCGTTTTCCTCCACCATATTCCCTGAAAGACAGGATCATAAGGAAGCGGTGGTCTTTCATCTGGATTTAGGTTCCAGCTTGGGAAATGTGCACAGCATCCAGGCCTGCCATGAAGGAGTGTTTCCTCCTGCTGTTGAACCAAACTGCTTCTTGATAGAGACTCTCTCACAAGCACCATCATTTCATCTTCCACTTTTAAAAGCTGTATTCCCCGTGTCTTGCATGAAGAGGATTTCCTCTTTGTGTCTTTACAACAAAGATCTAACAGAGCAATTGTAAACCTGTTTTCTAGCCCAAAACTTGAGGATTTACATTCCAAACAGCAGAAGGAACTTGACAGCCTGAAGTTCTGTTACATTTTGGTTTGGTTAAATAATTCAAATGCTTTCATAACTCCCATGAAAAAGTTATTACAGCACAATAGTTCTGCTGACAATAAAATATAATTAAACCAATGCCTTACCAGAACAGAAATAAAAAGAGGTTTAAAGAGATATAAATAACTGGAAACACTTCTGAAGCTTTCAAGGACAAAAATGCAGTTTTCTATCATTCAGGCCAATTTTACTTGTTAATATTTTTGTGACCTTGAACATTTTGATATTTGACTTCTGGCAGGAGTATTCGAGTACTTAGAAAAACAACTTACTTCCTATCAAAGAAACTTTCTACTATCAACCTACTCCTCAGCAATGACAACAAACCACAAGTGAGGTCTGCATAACATCCCATTCTGGATGAGGAGCCTTTCTGGCATGAAAGCTGATAGGAAACAACTCTTGGAAAGAAACTGAGTGGAATAGGGGTTTAATACTGTCATCACTAAAACAATAAATTGCACACACAAAAAAAACCCCAGCTGCATCAAAAGATATTGACGAAATTACTTCAAAACGACAGCACATCCATCACAAGCTTACATATACCACTCACCCAGTGTCATTCTAATGCCATTTTGCTCTGTGTAGATTATATTTGTGCCTAAGGGTCTTTATTTCATAGAAACATAGAACCACAGAATGGTTTGGGTTGGAAAAGAGCTTCAGATCACCCAGTTCCAACCCCTGCCATGGGCAGGGACCCCTTCCACTGGAGCAGCTTGCTCCAAGCCCCTGTGTCCAACCCGGCCTTGAACACTGCCAGGGATGGGGCAGCCAGAGCTTCTCTGGGCACCCTGTGCCAGCGCCTCAGCACCCTCTCAGGGAGGAGCTTCTGCCTAAGATCTGATCTAAGTTGGCCCTCACCCACATATACAGGCTGTCACATAGCGGAGCCCCAAAATATTGCAAGCAAAAGCAGTATGAAAAACAAGCCCCGTTCCTTTGGGTGAAGATTTTGATTAAGGAACAGAAACCAGTAAATTGCAATTGCTGCAACAAATATGGTGCCCAATAAGGATGGAAAAACACTGATTTGTTTGTTTTTTTCCTTACACAGTGCTTGCTGTAAGGGCTGGGGTTTGTAGACATGAACAGACAATAAAACAAAGCGCTTCTAAATCATCCCCTTATAGCAACAATTAGCAGAAACAAAAACCACAGGCAGATGGAATCGGTTACACAAGGAAATTTTAAGTTATGACCACAGGAAGCAAGCCTTTTTAAGCCAACTGAAGTGCTCCTAATCCAATATATTTTCCTAAGCCAAATGCAAAATAATTTCCTTCTATAGGGACATAGCTGCAGCAGCCCCAGCCCAGATGCAGGATTTGCTGAGAGCCTCCATCTCTTGGTTCATGGGGTCCCCTCACACTGGAGGTAGGAAAACCTTTTAAGACCTAGAAGTGAAAACTAAGAACAAGAAAAATCTTTGTTAAGTAGGCTTAAGATCACCACTTCTGTGACTGCACCCACTTCCAGAAATACTAGCATTCTGATACCACACATGCTCCTGAGAGGAACACTGGAGTTCACTGCGAGCAGCACTGCTGGTACATCCACAGGCCACAAGTTCGCCTTTTGTTCATGGTTCCTGCCGATATAACCATATTCTAGGTTGGGCTGATGTTATTTCTGCTGAAAGCAGAGGTTTAACTTCTACTATAAAGTGAAGAACACAGCACAGCCTGCTCACAGGTTTAGGAATATGCCCTTTAGAATGGTTTAGAAGGGACCTTAAAGTTCATCCAATTCCAACCCCCTGCCATGGGCAGGGACACCTTCCACTGGAGCAGCTTGCTCCAAGCCCCTGTGTCCAACCTGGCCTTGAGCACTGCCAGGGATGGGGCAGCCACAGCTTCTCTGGGCACCCTGTGCATTATCCTCAATCTTCATGGCAAGGAAAAGAGAGAAAATGGGTGGACAGGCAGCTATAAAGATCTCCTGTCCTCTTGATCAGACCCTACCACCATCAGGTTGTAAGATGAGGAAGGGATGCTATGTCAGACACCAAAAACAGCTAAACCTTGGTATTGTGGACTCATCCAGGCTGTCAGGAGTTGCTTGTTGAAATCATTGGCAACTCCTCAAATCATTGAGAACTTCCTAAAGTTGTCTCTGTTGAGGAAAAGCCTTAACTTTTCACTTGCACGCAGTTCTCGGATCAAGGCTATGGCTTTTCCTGTGCCCATTAAAATGCAACCACTTCAAAAACTTACAGCTCCTACCAAACAAGCAAAAATGTTGCTGAGTTTTTAGTGGCTAAAGAATCTCCAGACTAAGACTGATGGATAAAGGATGGGTTTCACCAAAAACATGTTTATCTTTGGGCAAAAGCAGATGGAGAAGAGCTATAGTCTGCAAATTAAACATCCCCATACTAAAGAGATTCCAAGAAATGCTAAAGAACTAACTCTTAGGGAAAAATAATGACTTTTCAGGATGTTAGCTAAGCATCCCAGTACTCCCATCCAAATCTATTGCTGATGGCAACAACATACCTTGCTAGCCGCTAACATTATTCGTGTCTCAGAACACAGGCAGTAAATGATGAGGTTTAATTCAAAATCATCTGGAACCTTCCTCTGCTTTGATTTTATTTTGTGCCAAGAGTTGCTGCTCGCACTCACTCAGTGACATGCACATCCTGACATGCAGTTCCCACACCGCCAAAACTACTTGCTTTCCCTTACCTGGCAGAGGAGTTGTATGCATCTTGATTTAAAAGGATGACTGCATCGCTACACCACTTCTTCCTACACACAAAGCTGCCAAATGGAATTTCAAGTCTCTCAGCCATGACCGATACTAACCAGGGGTTTCAAGCAGATGAACACCGGGTCCAACTCTGGCATGCCTTCTAGAAAGGCAAAAATAAAGCTGAGACCCTCATCTGCCCCACTACAGGCGCTCGTGCAGTCCCAAGCTGATTGCCACAGGCCAAGGGCATCTGTGTTCCAGCTATAAACTCCCTATTTACAATGCAGGTTTTACTGGAGCATAGCGAAGTATTTTAACGCAAAACGCCACAAAGTCCCCCAGTCTTTCTCCCTAAGCAAGTATTATGTTATCCAGAAGATAAATGAAGACACTGATGCCCAAATAAACTGCAGCAGAGCTGGAGAAGGAAAGCAAAACTTTACAGCAGCCCAGCCCAGCCTTCCTTTCTCTTCCTACAGCACACAAGTAGCAAAGGGAGAACACAGTGAAAGGGAAAATGATCTAAATAAAATATGCAGAAGAAGAATTCTTCTAAGCCCCATAAAGACCATCCCTCAGACAGACCTGTCAGCCTACAGCAAGGACTGCTCCAGGCTGACCTATGGGGGGCTTCCACATCGAATCTCTTTTTGGGTGCAGTTTGCCTTAAAACTGACTTTTACACCTTGCAGTGGGGTGTATTTTTAAAGTGTGACTGGTTCCATGCCACAAGGACTTTGGGAAGGGACCAGCTCCCACTGCAATTGTATGTCCTCAGAAAACGAAGACCAGAAACTGGGCAAAGGCAGCACTGTGGCAAACTAACATTGCAATATTTGCATCCTTTTAATCACACTGTAGAATTTTCCATGTGCTTCTTTTGGGTTCCTCTGAGTTGTTCCAGTTAACAATGTGCTATTCACCTATTTGGCAATCTTCACCATTAAAACAACACCTGGAACTAAAGTCTCAACAGTGCCGTGTGGCGTTACCAGTCAACGCTCACATTCCTGGCTGTGGCTACTGGTTTTACCTTCCCTATGATGTATTTCTACCTTGCCTGCTTTCCACACAAGTTTTACCCACACAGATCTCCCCATGGCTTTCGTTGGAAGAAGTTAAAAAGCCCAAAACTTCAATATATAAAGATTTAGCAGACAACCATTGATCACCATCCTTCCTCTGCACAAAGGAGATGGAGTTTTTACTAGAGCTCCCACTTTTGCCAGCAGCAAGACTACGAGGCAGATGATAACAGCAATGGCTGACTGAGATCTCCACTGGGATTAGGCCCAAAATGTTCTATGTGGTAACACCACAGCCAACCCTTAGGAAGTCCTCCAGAATCCTGACTACAAAACCACACCAAGCCCTGTATTTTGATATTAATTAGGTTTGGTACTTACTTAAATGGGAGGAAAAACCCAACATTGGCTGAAATTCAGTGTCAAGACAGGCCCCCTCGCTCCATCCCCATTTCCCTGCCACTCTCTCTAAAACGCCCTTCCTTCTGGATTCACTTTAATGAAGAACCGATCGAAACTGCATCCCGAGGGAGCAAACAGAGCTGCGACTCCCACTTTGATCTCTTCCCCATGGAGAAACGCGCTCCCTGCCTAGCTTGCAAGATGTTCATTTGATTGACGTTTGCTCTGATGTGCAAACTGCTTTGAACTTCAGACATTAAATTCCCATCAGGCTGCACTC